TATTGTGCGCAGGTCCTATGTTTAGACTACATTAAAGCGATAATGTCCGTGCCAGCATCAAGTCAATAGTGGCAAGATTCTAATCCAGCTAGCAATCCAGCAGGAAAACAAGCATCGTGTGCCGCAGGCTTTACATGGTACCCTTAATCAGGTTTAATAACATCCGTAGTTATGAAACTGGCCAATCACAGTCGTTTCATTCTTCTGAGGAACCGTTATGATGGTTATGCCATAACCGTTATGGCTGCGTTCAAGTCGACAAAGTGGCTAGCCAGCTTGCCGAGCAAATGAATATGATTGATTGTTACTTATAAATCCAACCAATCACATTCAATCACTCGGCGAGCAGGCTAGTCGCAGCTTTGTCCGATTTGAACGCGCCTATTGACTGCGTTTAACAGGACGTTTATTTTGCAACTGTTGGAAATTTTCTTCGCGCTAATTGAATTATACTTTTAGATCCAAAAGAATGATCTTATCTCAGCAGACAATCATAAAACGATTGCAAAATTGTATTCTGCTGAACGCAACCTTAGTTGCGAAAACTTTTCTTTCCTATATACAATTTTAAAAATATTTTGAAATGGAGAAATTCTATTATATTCGTTGAAGTTAGATTACACTTTGAGTCACCAATTGAAAAAATTCCTATTAAAAAATTTACGAAAGAGATATAATTTAAAATAAAACAGATTGAAACATGGTTATAAATCATTTATATTTCGAGCGTTCATGATTTGATGGATTGAATTAATTTCTGAGAGTGCGAATTTTGAAATATTTTCCATACGTCTCTAAATTAATTCCTATCAGTGTATGAATTTAAACAAGAAACTTTTTTCATATACAAAAGCGTAGAAGAAATTTTGATTATTTACATCAATGTGTACTAATGAAAAAATTGTCAAATAATTTATGTCTGACATGTGACAACTTATCGATATTCAGATCAATCATCCAGACGTTATTAAGGATGTTAATAATTAATATTTCCTAAATACAATACAAAATCGTTGTTAAATGTTTAATAGAGAAAATTCCTCATAACTGTAATGTCACGAGATCTATAAATAATTGCTTATAAATACTCGTATTTATTAGAATTGCCGATAAAAAAATTGAGAAGATCGAAAGAAACTATCAATCAAGTGTACAATTTTAGAGTTTTAAATATTCAAGCCTAAATTCGGATCTACAATAGGTGTTTTAAGCCTTAAGCCGTAAGTTAGGATAAAATCACACGGTGCGCAAAAGGGTTGCTGAATAGAGATTACGTCAGTGAAACAATCAATTAGCGCCATTCGGAATAACGCAGAATAACGCTGATTGGTTGCTTCTATGACGCATTCTCTATTGCGTAGTCGTTTTCCGCGCCATGTGATTTCATTCTAGGGAAAAATCACATGTGCGGAATAGGATTGCGGAATAGAGACTGCGTTATTGGAACAATCACTCAACGCTATTGATGTTGCGGAATAGCGAGTGCATCATAAACCGTCATATTTTGAGAGATTAAAATAATTTGATGCTGATTGATATGATGGAATTGCATATCGAGACGAATGAAGCAAAATGACAAAATCTGAGTGCAATATAGATACCAAGATAAAAAAAATATTGATGCATTACGTGCGATTTCAGTGTGCCCTTTCCATCACGCCAATTTTGTGTGCATACGATGCGGAAAAATATTAATTGCAAGTATTAATTGAAAAATATTAAATACTACAACAGTGATAATTATTTTTACAATTTAAAAAATTATATTTCTTTGTAATAAGCAAATTATTAAAGTTAATAGTTTTTAAATATTATTTATAGTTTTTAAATTATATTCATGCTGGACACATATTTGACGCATCATGTAGCACAGAAAATTTGCGTGATGGAAAAGTGCGGAATAACGCTGATTAGTTGCTTCAATAACGTATTGTTTATTCCGCAGCCCTTTTTTCACCCCGTGTGATTTCATCCTAAATGATTGGCTATGGTCCACTTGACGCTACAAATATTTCGAAGCATTTTTGGATTAGTCAGTGTCACGTCAGCGGTACTTATAAAACTTGTCCAGGAATGTCCCTGGCCAAATTACAAATTTTTCCTTACTTCAATAACCAACGGGGCATTAGAACTGCAGGGACCGCCCCTGACATCTTCTCCCCACCTCACGCGCCCTACCAGCATGGAGGGGCACCTTTTTCCTGAAAGCGTTCGGGTTCTAAAAACGGGACTTGCTCTCTCTTGCGAGTAGCGAGTGTTTTAAAGAGTTAGTTCAAAACCTCCCGGGGTCAGGTCTGGTCGAAGAGAAACGGTCTCTTCCAGAGTATTGTGATTTCTAGTTTAATTCCTAAATTCTATTCGCGTGAGCAATCCAATCTAATCATAGGTACATCTTATTTAACCTTCCTAGTTAACCGCATCTAATTATTAGTTATAACATAAGTCTGGATATGTGTGTAGCAACTGCAGAAGTTATAAAATACACTAATTACTTTTGAGCAATTATAAGTACGTATATATAATAATATTTGACGAAACCTCTCCTTTTACAATAAACGCCGCCGCGCGTATACGTTTATCGTTTAACTTGGAGATCGTGTGTGTGAACGAGCGGAATCAGCGCCGGCCAATCATCGAGCACCTACAAGGAGCCTGACCAACCGGAGTCCAGACTGAGCCGCGTGTCCCGCACCACGGACCGAACCACCAGCAAGATTCATGAAGGGATTACCGTAGGTTTCTTCTTAACCGAAAGGACGCGCAACTCTCGATTTGTTACCCGCCATTGGTCCCCGGTTTGTCCAGGTATCAATTACCAACGGTTGGACCTTGGGACGTAACATCAGTCAGTAAAATTCTTTCTTCCGATTGGTCAATCAAAAGTATTCGTAGTGTCAAGGACATCCTGTGATTCGTCCATTCCTTATGACTTAAGGTTTAAAAATCTATTATAAATCCGGGATAAGACAGGGAGCATAGACTACTGAACTACTGTTTGGAAATGAATGAGCAAGAGGGTCTTGAAGCAAACAAACTGTTACTTGAGAATAAAAAAACTTAAATATTTGTCTTTATTAATATTAACCGTGTTAACACAGAGTTTAACTGAAACTATTACAGGTGATGAGACAATCACAATTTCGAATTCTCGGCAGGACTGTGAAATTACGGAATTCGCTCACGAATTCTGACGCGACAGATTTTCTAAAAGGCAGTTAACTGTACTCGGCAGCGAATAAAAGAGACAAAAAGAAAGAGTGAAAAAGGCTCTCTCAGTCAATCTCCAATGGAATTCCTTAAAATTATAAAATTTGAGGGGATTTCTTGTCACAGCGTGTGATTCGCGATTCACTGATTTAATCGCGAGAAAAAGTTCAATTGCCATGCGCGGATGAGACAGCGAGCCGTTGATTGACACGACGCAGATTGCCAACATACAGCGCAATGTTCGTCCCGCGTAATATGCGATATCCAATGAGTGTACAGCTTTACTGATATTCTTATTCTAAAGGTATAGTGTCATTAGATATTGCGTGTCGCGCGTGATTAACATCACAACCTGAGTTTTGTTTATAATCATGGTTTATTTTTTCAATGACTAGAAGAAAACATTGCAAAAAGTTTAGATTTCCAGAAGAATCAAAACTCATGTTGTGCACATTATCACATTAATCGCGATGTGATTTTTCATGGCGACTTCAAACAACTATATATACACTAGATTGGGCATCTCCATTTTGAAGCAATGAGAAAATCGTGCACTAATTGATCAGCACCATTTTAATTTGATCAATATAAGACCGTAACAGAAGCTTTCAGGTGTTTCTCTTACGTTTAGTGTTCTTTAATGAGACGCATATGTCATCAAGATCATCCTGTGTGGAATTGTATTTGAAAGATTACTTTGAAAGATTATAAAATCGCGTGACTGTACAATGTGCAAAGCATCAACATGAAGTGCTGTATGCCTGGGTGTGGGCAGAGAAATAAAAAAGGAATTTCATTTCATAGGTAAGAATTTTTGTATTAAATGTATCAATTGTTGCACATGTGTTAACGATGTAGAATATGAAAAGTGTTATTAATATTATTTTATTGAGTGCTAATAAAATTGAAGTGACATTATTTTTGTTTACGTACCGTTCATGTCCATATAAATTTCCATACATCGATAGTACATCGATCGATACATCGATCACAGCGTAAATAGATGCAAACACTTCTGATTCGCTCAAATATCGTCCCAACTAAAATGGCGGCTGATAAATTGCGGCCACGAATTTTCCTCGATGCCCATTCTAGTGTATATATAGTTCAGTGGTTACAATCTTAAGACCGCAGCACAGATTTTTGCATAACGCATAGTGCATAAGCGAATCAACTAATCAGAATCCCCTTTCCTTCCATTCGATAGAAAAGAATTTCGATTGGTTGATTCTCTTATGCATTATGCAAGAGTCTGTACTGCGATCATTATGCCACGAAGTACATGACAATTACATTGTATACATGATGTATACGTTACAATATTCTGTATCTGCAAATAAAATGTTTTTGTTTTCTATTATATGCTGTTACTAATTCTATACATAGTTATCTCATTTTATGGTTTGATGCTTTTATTAAACGCTAATTAATCGTACAAGTATAAAAATATTGGTTTCTGTACATTTCCATTTAGTGCATTTTTCTTATTACATGGATAAGACTTAAAAGTGAATTCTATAAAAAATTTTAATTCAATCTTTTTCAATTTTAATGAGAAATTTCGAATTTGACAATATTACAAGTGCTTTTCTTTTAAAATTTTTTTTATATATAATTAAGATCTAAATTGCTTGAATTATATCTGTTGCTGATATATTGTACTTTATATCGAAATCCTTCAGAATCGTGTTTAATTATTCGGAAAATATCATTTGTATCGTTCGTTGTATTTTTACTTTTAATTTTAAACTCGAAATCTAAAGCTCTTGACACATTTGCATGTTTCTGAAGACTTTTTTTCCTTTCCTTATCTGAAGTTACGGACATCATTAATTCATGTCATATTGTTTCTTAGGATCTTTTCGATAGATTTTGATCGTGAGCCTCTTGAATTATGTTTCTTAGGATCTTTTTTCCTTTTTTTTTTTGTCAAAAGTGACGTATTTAATGAAATTTCCTTTTTTCGAAACTTAGACATTTTAAAAGTTTCATTCAAATTTTGTCGACTTGAGTCTCGTTATATGATTGACTTTTTGCTCTTTCTTTTAATAATTCTGTTTATACATAGATCTTATTTTGCAGTCATTATTTTAACAACGTGAGTCTCTTGCGAATTTGACATTATAGGTGGCTTCTTGCTATTCGTATATTTTGCAGATACACTACTTTCTAAATTATTTGAAAAAGCATTGACGTTTAATAAATACTTAAGCATATGTTGCTTTTCTTCACATTTAAGATAGAGAATATTCCTTGCACTATTAACTATTTCTTCTTCGTTTTCTTTGTTAATATAAGTTAATATAAGTTCTGAATCAGGTTTCTTCACATTTCTTTTCCTTTTTTATCTCTATTTCAGTAATACTATCTAATAGAATGGAATTTTTTCTCTTTGCAGCTTTATGTGACTCAGTAAATTCATCCAAAATTGATTCATTATTAAGTAGCGATTTGGATATTTTCTTGTTTGTCTTATGTTTTGTATTATCGACTTCTAAATTATTTAAAGAATCATCAGTATTTAATAAAATACATTGCTGTTTGTTTTCAGATTTAATCATTGCAGAAGTATTGCTTTCTACGTTCAGCTCTGATTCATTTTCAATTTTGACTTCACAAACGTCTTCTGAATTCTGTTCCAGAAACTTGTGTTTTTTTCGGTGTTTTTTCTGTTTTTTCTTCTCTTTCTCAGAAATGCCATCATTTTCCAATATTCCATCAATTTCAATCTTCATAGAGTTATTTTCAGTTGCACTGTCCACACCAATGTTTAATAAAATACATTGCTGTTTCTTTTCAGATTTAGTAATTGTAGATGTATTACTTCCTGTGTTCAACTCTGATTCATTTTCAATTTTACAAACAACTTCTGAATTCCGCTCCTGAAACTTGTGTTCTTTCTGATGTTTTTTCTGTTTTTTCTTTTCTTTCTGTGAAATACCATTATTTTTCAATATTCCATCAATGTCAATCTTCATAGAGTTATTTGTACTTTCAGTTGCACTGTCTACACCAGTATTTAATAAAATACATTGCTGTTTATTTTCAGATTTAATAATTGCAGATGTATTGCTTCCTACGTTAAATTCTGATTCATTTTCAATTTTACAAACAACTTCTGAATTTCGTTCCTGCAACTTGTGTTTTTTTCTGTGTTTTTTCTGTTTTTTCTTCTCTTTCTCAGATATGCCATCATTTTCCAATATTCCATCAATGTCAATCTTCATAGAGTTATTTGTACGTCCAATTGCACTGTCCACATCAATATTAATTATGCTTTCTGACAATCTACAACCTTGCGAATAATCGGATTTCAAACTGGCGCAGATGAAAGGAGGTTTGCTCTTATGATGTAGTTGAGTGACGCAACATCTTATTTCCTGACCAATCTCCACTGACTCACCTAACCATTGATCTGTATTATCTGGTTTCGGAATAGATACGGTATATATTTTGTGTACCAGCATTACAATATAGTCCAAGCTTTTCTTATTCACTATACCTGCAACATAATACTAGTTATCATATCTACATATATAGTATTCTATTTTAAATAATACATTAAGATTTCTCAAAAACAATGATAGATACAGAAATATCAGTAAGACCGTTTTCTAAAGTACTGATCTGAATAATAGAGATTTTAAGTTTTAAAAGGCTTTTTTAAATATCTTGCTACGATAATTTTTCACTGAGTTATTGCTATTTCAAAATATTAAAAATTTATGCAAAAATTTAGTGGCGTTTTTTTTGCGTGCGTGCGTGAGTGTGTGTGTGTGTGTGTGTGCATGTGTGTGTGTGTGTGTGTGTGTGTGTGTGTGTGTGTGTGTGTGTGTGTGTGTGTGTGTGTGTGTGTGCGCGCGTATGTACAAGATGTTTGGAAAATGATGAATCTTTCGCAAAGGCAGAATGTACTAAATTGTGAAGAAAAGTCCTGTATCACTTTGCAATTTTCGCAATAATTAACAAGATATTAATTGCTAAAAATTGCCGAAATTTGATCTTCAATAATGTTTTACTTAAAACTAAATATTATCAACTTTATAGGAAAACTGCAAAAAACGAAAATTGTTTGTTTTGTTTTCATAGAACTATACGAATTTTTTCAGATTTTATCAACTTTTTAGTACTGCATTTTTTCATTTTTATTAACATGAGAAAATATGGTATTAAACAATTCTAAAAAAAATTCTAAAAAAATTCTTAGAGTTCTAAATGCAGTATTAAAAAATTGATAAAAAATTCTGAAAAAATTCGTAGAGTTCTATGAGAAGAAAATAAACAATTTTTGTCTCTTTCAGTTTTTCTGTAAGGTTGATAGCATTTGAGTAAAAATTTATTGGAGACCAATTTTTGGCAATATTTAGCAAATAATATATTATTAATTATTGCGAAAATTACAAAATGAGGACTTTTCTTTTCAATTTAATCCATTCTGCCCCTATGCGAAAGATTTATCATTATTTTCCAAACACATTGTATATATACATATATTTCCTTAAATATATATATATTATATTATTATTAATAAATATTTTATCTTCATACCAAAGAATTATTCAATATTGTTAAATTTACTACTAGGAATTTAACAAAATATACACTTCAACATAAAACTTCTTCAACATAAAAATCTCATTTGTAATAAATACTATGGGATATCATACAAAACTTATTTGGCACTTAGCCAATAAAAAAAATATGCTAAAATTTCATAAATTAATTAATTTTCTTCAAGAAATCAATTGAAGTATGTAACAATTAGCGAAAATTATTTACCTTTCAGAAAAAATCCAGTCTTTGGACGGAACAAATAGAAATCTGCTTCAATGTTGACATGAATAAAGGGAGAATCATAAAACAATTCTCCCAGATTGCTAAGCAATTTAGGATTTTTAAAAGCCAGTACAAATCCTTTCAATCTGAAATGTAAATTACTTTGATATAAATATTAAGAAGACTTCGGGCACCTCAAATTTTAATAAAAATATCCTCGATGCGTATTCATGTAAAAACAAAGATTTGACAAGAAAAAAAATGTTCTGCTCTATGAACCGAGATATTAATCGTTAAAGTAAATAATCGACGATTATTCAAGTTGGAAAATCCATCACAGCAGTAGTGCACTGCTTTAAAAATACAAATTCACTGCTTTAGCAGAAAATTTGCTTTTAATGCAGAGAATTTGTGTTTTTAAAGCAGTGAACCATTGCTGTGACAAATTTCCTAATCTGAATAGCCATTGATTTTAATGATTAACATCTTAGTTCATGGAGTAAAGCAACACTTTTTGCTTGTTAAATCTTTATTTTTATGCATTGATTAAGTATATTCTTTTAAAAATTTAAAGTGGCCAAGATTTTCTTAACATGCACCCAAATTATAATAATAAACTAACAATGAGACATTTAAATTTTAAAAATATATTTGATAATACTCAAGAATTGTGTCCAATTTTGCTCATCAATTTTGATGAAATTAAGCTTATTCGATGTTTTTGCATGAAACGAAAGAATCTGGCAAAAAAAAAGCGTCGCTCTACCCTGTGAGCTGAGATATTAAGCGTTAAAGTTGATATAACTATTGAAGTTAGGAAATCTGTCACAGAAACAAAATGGGTCTATAATTGTACTGTTCCACATGAATTTCCATTTTCCACGCGAAGCAACTCTCACCCCTGACTCTCGCCCACCCCCTCTCCTTCTTCCCCTGCAAAGAGGCACAGGATTCGGTAATTGTACTTGTTGTTGAGGTTAGAAAATCTGTCATGGGGGTCTAAACAGTGGGGTGTATAGACTAGGCTTGGGTGGATATTTTATATATTATATATATATATATATATATATACATACATACATATATATACATATATATATATATAGATATATAAAGCATAGATGAATACGTACTCTCTGTCATAAGCATTCAACAACGATCTTAAAATCTGATTTAGACCTCGCTGAATGTTGTTCAAATGATATGGATGTAATGCAACGTGCTTGATGGTCCTCACAAAGTGCACGTGAGAATCCTCATCTTCTAGCAGACCTCTGAGTTCTAGAATGGTCCACGTTACTTCGCGATTCTTTTGATATTTCATCTTGCTTCGAACACAGTTGACGTATATTAAATATTATTCAAGTAATTCTTCAGTTGACCTTCCTCACCTTCAAACTTCGTAAATATGGTTCATTCAACGTGTCTTTACATGAAATGATCAAAACGAATTTGACAAGAAAAAACTTACTGGTCTATCTTAGAACCGAGATCGAGACTAACGACTAGCGAGATTCTGATTCGATTATTCAAGAATCGATTCTTTTTCCACTCTCTTGGATGGAATCCATTGGGTGAAATCACACTGCGGAATAGAAAATGCGTCATAAAAGCAACCATTCAGCGTTCTTCTGTGTTATTCCGAATAGAGAGCCTACAATCAGAGTGACGCCATACGGGTATCACTTGTAATTGGTCCGCCATGTTTTAGCCATTCCCTCCAGTTTTTTAAACGCATTATTTTCTAAATTTTGAATTTATGCTAAATAATGCTCAAAAATTGTGACAAATTAAAAAATGCTAATAAATAAATATTGTATATAAAATAATAAAACTTACATATATTATTTATTATAAAATTTCATTTATTTTGTACTATTACAATATTGTACATTTTGTAATATTGCACATTACTTTATACAAAACGTTATTTATTGCACATTATTTGCGCAAATTAAATGCGCTAGTTTATATCCATTCTCTGTTCCTACATTTTAGGAGCAAAATGCATCTCTAATAGTATAAAACAAATCAAAAATTCAGAAAAATATATATGTATATACCATTTCATAAAATATTATATGTTAAATATCGTAATTATCATATTATTTGATTTAGACTCACAATGCAATGATATATAATTGAAAAGATTACGACAAAAAGAGAAAGAATTAAATTCGTAACAAATGTGATGACTGTACATATACTTACCATAGTGCCAAGATACTTCAGATATTATAATTAATCTTTGTATATTTTATGTTACATTTTTATTTTAATATTTTAAATACATTATTTATAAAGAATAAATTACTTTACCTCACATACGGATGAATTTTTGACGGTGTCCAATTTTTATGTTTGCCTTTTATACTCTTTAACCAATTTATTCGGCGTTCTGTGTCTTTCGGAATTATTTTCATAACATATCCTTTTTTTTAATGAATTGTTACAAAACGGTATTGTACATCCAACCATATTTCTAAAATAATTTCGATAATTTTATTTTTTTATCAATGTTCCTTTACGTATCCATGTTGTTCAATGCTGTTGCACCTAACCCTAAAAGTGACAGTCTGTTGGATAGACTGAGACCGTATATCTCTTTTTCTCTCGCAGAATTTCGCTAAAATATGATCTCGTATGGCGCCACTTTGATTATAGGCTCTCTAATTCCGCTATTAGGCTTCCTAATAGCGCTAATTGGTTGTTTCAATGGCACATTCTCTTCCGCAGCCCTTTTCCGCACCGTGTGCTTTCACTCATCAGGCTGGCGTTCCATGAGCGGATTTACAGCGAAAGGAAACAGAGAGACCAATCACAGTCGCAGAAAAGAAAGCAGAGTCATATAGCGATTTCGGCCCGACCGAGTTTGCACTAATCTGAGAGTCGATTCTGTATCTTCAAACAAGATGAAAATTACAAAAATGAGCAAATTTACTAGATATTGATCAATGAAATTATTAGTATTCTAGTAAATTCGCTCACTTTTGTAATTTTCACCTCGTTTCAAGATGTAGGGGATCGATTGTGTATCTTCAAACAAGATGAAAAGATTACAAAAGCGAGCGAATTTACTAGAATATTAATAATTTCATTGGTCAACATCTAGTAAATTTTCTCATTTTTGTAATTTTAGATGTTGACCAATGAAATAATCAGTATTTAAGTAAATTTGTTGACTTTATAATTTTCACCTCATTTTCAGGGTATAGAATCGATCCTCGGGGTTGAAGTAATAATATTTTATTTCGTGCTCTCCTATTGATAGAGCGTGTAACATCAATCAATAGCGACGCATTTTTTAACTTAAGTTACAATTATATATGTATATATATATACAATAATCTATAATTTTTAAATTGGATAATTTAAATTATCCAATTTAAATTTCAAATATACATATTATAATAAATATACTATGCGAAATTTGTGTACTATTATACTATCATTATATTGCTTTATACATTACAATTTATAATTTATGAATGGTACAAGATTACCGATATAAATTTTATATTGGGAATTGATTAAACTTTTGAAGAAGAAAAATTTGATTCCAATGTGTTACTATATTATTTTATAATTAGTTTCTTGTTATAAAGTATGTATATATCAATATATATATATATATATAGATGTCATGAATATACGGCCCCACTCGTCCCGAGTAGGTAGAGTGGACTAAATTGAGTAGAAAAATCCTCTACCATTTTGTAATGCTCGCAATAATTAACGAGATATTAACGTTTAAAGATAACCGAATACGCGCGTCCGCTCGACTTACTATTGTCAAAGGTACGGCCCACCAAGCGCACGGCCGCGAGGAACGGGAATGGCCCAGCAGGCGCGCCGCGCCCTTTGAGTTTAGATGCTCGTAAGCCCGCGGTTAATATCTCGTTAATTATTGCGAGTATTACAAAATGGTACAGGACTTTTTTACTCAA